TTGGGACCTCTTGGGCCAATTTTTATGGTATTTTGGACATGCTACTTACGGGCGGTAGTGTTTTATTGATAACCTGAGCTGGTGTGGACGAGGAGAGGGAGAGACGCTGGCCTCACACGCCACTAAACACCTCGTTGACACTAAACCTCTTCACACAGTAGATACCAGAGCCAGATTTTTCTTGTTTTAGTTGGGTAGTCACATTACTTTATTGGGATTTTTTTTTGTGTGTGTGTGGAGCTGTAAAGTGGATGACAAATGTAAGATTTAATGCTAAATAAGAAGGGGCACACACACAAACATCCACACAGACACACAGACACACAGACACACACAGACACACACACAGACACACACACAGACACACACACACACACACACACACACACACACACACACACACACACACATACACACACACACACACACACACACACACACACACACACACACACACACACACACACACACACACACACACACACACACACACACACACACACACACCATATATATATATATATATATATATATATATATATATATATGTATATACATATATATATATAGATACATATATATGTATACATACATATATATGTATATATATATATTATATATATATATATATATATATATATATATATAATATATATATATATATATATATATATACATACATATAGTGTATATATTGACAATGAGAAAATAATCAGTATTCCAGGAATTATTGGAAAGAGGGTCGCCAGCAACTGAAATAATCGATAACACGATGTTTGGTGGATAGGAGTGTTGGGGATGTGTGGTGGGGGAGGTGTAGTGGAGGAGGCGGGGTGGAGGAGCGGGGTGGTGGAGCGGGGTGGTGGAGCTGTGTTGGGAAAGAAGTGGAGAGGAAGGCGTGATAGTGGAGGAGTGGTGGAAGTGTGGGGAAAGAGAGGAAGGGAAGTGGGTAGAGGGGGGGATATAGTGGGGAAAGGGACGGGAGAATGCGAGGTCTGTCACATTGCGTTTTCCCACACATCAGTTCCTCACATTTACTGATTTTCTCTTATTTTTGCTGCTTCCCTGCAGAAAATATCCCTCACTTCTCTCGTTATGCATTTTTCATTTCCCCATACACAGAAAAATCTCTCTTTTCCTGCATACAAATTTTCATACATTTATTTAGTTTCTTTCTGTACTGAGAGAAACTTAATTCTCCATATATAGTATTATAGAGACATAAATAGTTATAAAACAGTTGCAATGCACACGTAATTGTTATAGGCATATATGTCTGAGGATCTCACTTTCAAGGATCACAACAGTGCCATGATCACAAGTGCAAAGAAAATGATATGATGGATAATGAGAACGTTCAGAATAAGAAATGCCAAACCAATGATGTTCCTTTTCAAATCACTTGTTCTCTCTAGGCTGGAATACTGCTGTACATTAACATCTCCATTCAAAGCAGGTGAAATTGCAGATCTAAAGTGTACAGAGATCCTTTACTGCACGTATAAGTTCTGTCAAGCACCTTAACTACTGGGAACGCTTGGAAGCACTTGACTTGTACTCACTGGAACGCAGGAGAGAGAGATATATAATAATCTACACTTGGAAAATCCTAGAAGGAATGGTCCCGAATCTGCACACAGAAATTACTCCCTACGAAAGTAAAAGACTGGGCAGGCGATGCAAAATACCCCCAATTAAAAGTAGGGGCGCCATTGGTACACTAAAAGAAAACACCATAAGTGTCAGGGGCCCAAGACTGTTCAACAGCCTCTCACCAAGCATAAGGGGAATTACCAACAGGCTGGCTTCAAGAGGGAGCTGGACAGATACCTAAAGTCGGTGCCGGATCAGCCGGGCTGTGGCTCGTACGTTGTACTACTTGCGGCCAGCAGTAACAGCCTGGTTGATCAGGCCCTGATCCACCGGGAGGCCTAGTCGTGGACCGGGCCGCAGGGACGTTGATCCCCGGAATACCCTCCAGGCTAGGTCCAGGCCATAGGTGGACAATTGTTATAGGCATACACTGGTGGACAACTGTTATAGGCATACACTGGTGGACAATTGTTATAGGCATACACTGGTGGACAATTGTTATAGGCATACACTGGTGGACAATTGTTATAGGCATACACTGGTGGACAATTGTTATAGGCATACACTGGTGAACAATTGCTATAGGCATACATTGGTGAACAATTGTTATAGGCATACACTGGTGGACAATTGTTATAGGCATACACTGGTGAGCTGGTGGACAATTGTTATAGGCATACACTGGTGAACAATTGCTATAGGCATACACTGGTGGACAATTGTTATAGGCATACACTGGTGGACAATTGTTATAGGCATACACTGGTGAACAATTGCTATAGGCATACACTAGTGAACAATTGTTATAGGCATACACTGGTGAACAATTGTTATAGGCATACACTGGTGGACAATTGTTATAGGCATACACTGGTGGACAATTGTTATAGGCATACACTGGTGGACAATTGTTATAGGCATACACTGGTGAACAATTGTTATAGGCATACACTGGTGAACAATTGTTATAGGCATACACTGGTGAACAATTGTTATAGGCATACACTGGTGAACAATTGTTATAGGCATACACTGGTGAACAATTGTTATAGGCATACACTGGTGAACAATTGTTATAGGCATACACTGGTGGACAATTGTTATAGGCCAAGTGGTAGTGAAACGTATTATGTCTGACTTCCCTTTTCTTGTCTACCCTCTATTCTTTTTGTTGTCTTGTCCTACCCTGCTGCCAGCAGTAACAGTCTGGTTGATCAGATCCTGATCCACCATGAGGCCTAGTCTCAGAGCGAGCCGCGGGGGTGTTGACCCCCGAGACACTCTCCAGGTAAACTCCAGGTAAACCCTAATCCCTTCCCTCCTTGTTCATGCAGTTTTAAACAGAGCATAACCAAAATTACATACCTGGAGCCTTGGCAAATATACACAAATATACACAATAAAAATATCTTCAAACAAACAAAGTCTTTGAAGAAATCAACAAAAGATTTAGACATTTATCTCTACAGATTTCTCTGGTTGAATGCCACCAGCTATTTGCAAATAATATATAGGTAAATCTTCCTTGTGATGATATCACAGAGGACAGTCCTGAGCATTATATTCCTCTCGTGAATTTTATATCTCCCGGAGAGGTGGGGAAATGAAATAGAAAATGTCAAAGCGTCGGTTTTCTCGGGAATTAAGAACTTAGGAGTTGTTCTGGCAGGACTGTCCTCCCCGGAGGGGTGTTAGGGGTGAGAAATGGTGTGTGGGAGGGATAAGGGAGAGTGGTCTGGAGGAATGGGGGAGGGGGGATGGGTGAGGGGGATACGGGGATAAGGGGGAAGGGATAAGGAAGATAGGGTAGTATGAGGGAGAGAGAGGGTGGAAGGGGAGGGTCAAGCCAGTAAAATTTATTTCCTATTATTCTCTCCCTTTTCTCTACCTTCCCTTCACCCCTCACCCTTCCTCCCTTCCTCCTCCTCCCACACGCACACACACACGGGAACATACATCCGCAGTGTGCTGCTGCCATGTAAAGTAAGGGTAGCAGCACACTGCTGATGTATCCAGTTATATTTCATAATAACAGACAACATATCTTATATTTTCATCTCTTGACGTGACTGATTTTTTTTTTTTGTAATTTTTGTGATTATTGTTTATATATTGGTAAGCAGAGAAACCCGAATCCATGTTATACTATAGGCATTTAAAAAAAAATATTTTTTTAAGGTGAAAGTTAGTAATACTAAGAATAATGGAGGTTAGATGAAAAAAAATGGATTTAAGGGCACTTTGCTTTATTTCCTTAAGTGAAATATATAAATACATTCAACTCTCTCTCTCTCTCTCTCTCTCTCTCTCTCTCTCTCTCTCTCTCTCTCTCTCTCTCTCTCTCTCTCCTCTCTCTCTCTCTCTCTCTCTCTCTCTCTCTCTCTCTCTCTCTCTCTCTCTCTCCCTCTCTCCCTCTCCTTCCTTCCTCCCCCTCTCTCTCTCTTCCGGCGCCTCATATGGCAAGAGTTAATAGGACCAGAGTTTGACATGTCCACACAGGGGAAGGCTGGCTCGCCCGCCTCTTTAAATAATCAGCCCCAGAAACCCTGTGAAATTGTTTGGTGGCTGTAGCAGCAGGGGATCAGCAGGGAAAGGGAAGGGGGTTCAGAAGTGCAGAGGAAAAAGGGGTTAGCAGGAGCTCAGCAGGAGAGGGCGAGGAAGGCTCGAAGAAGGTTCAGTAAGGGATGCAAAAAGAAGTTCAACATCAAAAGGGTTAAGAGCTTAGCACAAGAGAGGAAAAAAGGCTGCCAGGGGCTCAGCAGGGAAGGAAGGATGCTCAGTAGATATTGGGAATGGGGGCTCTGCAGGGGCTTGGCAGGGGTGGGACAATGTGACTGACAGGGAAACTGAGGGATAGAAATGACTTGATGTGTTGCTGGAGAAAAATTATGAAATTTTTAAGAGAATTACTGAAGTAAACACACAAGTGATAAGAGGCGAGGGAGATGGGTAATTGCTAGCAAAAAATAAATGGGGATACTAAGGAAGGAAGTGGTGCGAAGAAGAAAGAAATGCCGTCAGAAGGAAAGAAAAAATGTCAAAATGAATTAAATGGTGTCAAAAGAAAAGGAAGATCTCAGAAAAAGAAAAGGCACTGGCCAGCAGAGATAAAACACGTCCACAGTGGAGGAGCATTAAGATACCTGAGTGATATTCGGTGTCCACACCTTGACTTGAATCGATAATTCACAATCGAATGATCTTTTTCACAAGGAAATCGCTCATTCTCTTTAACAAGATTCATGTCTAAGAAGCCTCTCTCTCTCTCTCTCTCTCTCTCTCTCTCTCTCTCTCTCTCTCTCTCTCTCTCTCTCTCTCTCTCTCTCTCTCTCTCTCTCTCTCTCTCTCTCTCTCTCTCTCTCTCTCTCTCTCTCTCTCTCTCTTTCTCTCTCTCTCTTTGTTATAAA